TTAAGATGCATGGACATGAAAAGAAAATGGATTTCAAGTTTTTGAAATAGCATATTTTATAACTCATTTTTGGACCGTCAATTTTCAAGTTTTCGTAGATCTATCAATCTACACTATAGGGATTGTAGTTTCATCAAATTTAGTTATCTCGTGTATTATTTGTGAAATTCATTTCTGTTTGGAGCTCAATTTTACTGAACTTGTACCTGAATTGAGGTCTGCTCTTCAAACTAGCAAACTTTTTGGGAGAGGTGCAACTTTGCAGTGGAAGACCCTAAACAGCCTCACTATTGTTCAAGCTACTATCAAACCATTCCAATTTTATGTTCTATGATGTGACTCAATGTTCCTAATGGGCAATCTCAATACAGATTGTGACATACATGACCAGAATGATTTCAAGTTAATTAAACCCTGGTAATGCAAATTCCATAATATTGTCAAATAGCATGTTAATTATATTTCTATCTGAAACTCTAATTTACGTGGGGAACAAAATGTCTATTGATTTAGGAAATGGGACGAAGGGGCTGTGGTCAAGAGTAATGAGGAGGGTAGGTAGTGATAGTGGAGTTGACTGCATGGTTGCTTGACAACTTTCAAGCCTGGTCATGGAGTGAGGTACTGCTTACTTGGATCACCATTGGCAGTTAGCCGAACCAGAGGCCCAGGAAATAGCATTGTGTGAGTCCCCTTCTATGGTGGCCCTCAAGAAATGATCTAGCTTCTGCTGGTTGGAAATCGGAGTGCCCTATGATCTTCGAGAAAGATGTAAAGTGGACCCTTTGTGGTCTCTAAAAAGACGTATACCTGATGGTCCTGGGTTACTTATGGAACAACCATCAAAGTTGAGCTTTACACGGTCCAACTTTGGAGGAAGCCACAACGAGGCTCGTGAGTTACTCGTGTGGTTGTAAGAAAAGGAGATTGTACCAGTGTAGGTGGAAGGCTGAAGGGGGGAAGCCTTTGAACCTCTTGTAATTAGTAGCCCAGAAGATAATTGCCGCTTGGATTATATCAAACAAGGATTCAATGGTAGAGAACTGTCCTTACAAGATATGATTGTTACGTTCTATCCAAATTTCCCAAATGAGGGCTGCCATTGAAGCCTTCCACAATATGATAAAGAGATTGGGAATATTTTTTGGGGTCACCCATTGCCATTTGAAGAGCTGAAGAAAAGCTCCCCACAAGGAATGGGCCAAAGGACAATATATAAAGAGGTGATGCTTAGTTTCCTCGGCTTCGCGACACATGATACATCAATTAGGTAAAGCCAAGCCTCTCTTTGCAGTTGGTCAATCTCTTAAAGAGTGTAATCCAGTTGTTTGGCGTGTGGGTGCGTGGAAAATGAAGGTTTCACTGTGTGGGTGTGTGGATTGGCGTGTATTAATACTCATTCATTCTAGCTTGGTCTTTCATCTGACTCTGAGATATGAGTTTGGCTGCTTTGTTTTAGTATCAAATGGGCTATGAAAATTCCTATGTGTATCCTTATATATACATACACATGCACATCCTATTTCTGAATGGTAATTTCAGAAACCTATAATCGAAAATTTTTAAATACATGTGTCTTTTCCTTTCTATAATACTAGTGGAGGGCACTAAATATAATTGTGCATATTCCAAATTTTCAAATTTCAAGGCTTTTTATTTTTTTTTACTTATCAAATCCACCCGAAATTTGGAGGGTGTGTGCGCTTAGAAAGATGCCACCTAAGAACACTATGAAAATAATTCAAATAGTAAAAATGATTAAAATAGTCCTACAAATAATTTTTGACAATTTTTATTATTTAAATTTTTGAGCGATTTATGTATGGAAACCCTTAGGGGGACTCTTAGCTGGCAATGACAATGTCGGATGTGAGGGCCTAGTCTTTCCACAAAGCACTAGCTCTGGCTAGTTTTTCTATTACCCAGAGCTCCCTCTCTCCACAAAGTAGCAGTCTGAAGCTCCACAACTGCAGACATTTTGCCATCCTAATCTGGTACGTCTAATGGTTGTGTATTAGTCTGGAGAAAATTAGATTAATGGTGGATTAGGGTTTTGCAATTCAAAAACCCTAATCCACTAGGAATTAGAGAGAGAAACTCCATCCTGATTGCAATAGGAATCCCAGGTTGCTCTTGTAAATCCTGTGGACTTTGATGTCGCAATCAGCTCGATTCCTATGTCAACTCACAATCACTTTGACTCATTCATTTTAATTGCAATCTCCTGAAAAGAATCATGGCATGCCAACATTGACAGTCTGCAAATGAAATCACAATATCCATGAGTTGGCTGACTTGGTTAATGGGTTTTTTCATTTGTTGTATTTTGTTGTTGTGCTTTATATCTGCATCCTTGCACTATCTCGTTCTCTCTCAACTCAACCACTCTCTCTCAAGGAGGCAAGGCATGCCCATGCCCTTTTCACAAGCTTTGGTTTCCAACACCTAATCTCTGCAGCTGCTCACATGGTCACCATTTACACTCTTTGCAACGACCTCCACTCTTCAAACCTCCTCTTCTTCAACAACCCCACAAAAATATATACGTTTTTAACACGATATTCAAGCTCATGCCCATGTTAATCAGCCAACCCAAGCTTAGGGGTTTTGGAAATCTTAAGGGGTTAAGCAATGGGGACTTTTCGGGATTGAGGTACAGGATTGAGAAAAAAGGCATGAGTGTAGAGAAGAGAGAGAAGAGCAAGAACTCTATTGGGGTCTGAGATTTAGTGGTGGAGAAGGGCCCCAAGAACAAATAGGGGGGAGCAGCCTATGTTCAAAAATTGGGTTTTCTAGAGAGAGAGAGGGAGGTTTCCTCGCATGCTTGCCGCTGCTTTTTCATCTAGGCAAAGAGAGAGGTAGGATCTTTAATGGGGGAGAGACGCACGCAAAAATTTTGACGTGGAAATTGAATGCCTCAAAATTCAACTACAAGTTGAATTTCTAAATATTCAGATTTTTGGGCGTTATTTGAATCTTAAAACATATGATTTGACTCTATCAAACAAGGCATGTAAATTTTTAAAATTAAGAGTTTTTTTAGATTCTATATTGACTTATAATATCACAATATTAGGGTGTTATCAAACAGTCCCTTAGTGATTCCTGATTGATAGAATTGAGTATGTTATGTGAATATTGAGATTGTTCTTTAATGCTATGCTTTGTTGTTTATGTGAATTGAAATCTCATTGGATTATTATGATCAAGTGTGTGATGTGTATGAGACATTGTGATACATGATGAAGATGAAGAATGAAGATAAAATTGTCATGTAATTTTGATATAATCAGCAATTTTGAGTGCAAGTCATGTAATATGTCGAAGCAATGTATATTGTGGGTATTTGGACATTGTATTGAGTTTAATTGTATTTTTGAGTAAAAGATTTGTAAGGGACCTATTAGGGTTGAATTTCTATTATTCAAATGTGTATAAACCAAGTTTGTGGGCTGGAATTTATGTATTGTAGTTTTGTATTGAGATATTCATAAATTTAAACCCTTGAGTTTTAATACAATCAAGGCCATTACAGCTTTCAGCCTCTCACTTCATATCTCTTTGTAAATTATTTGGATCGATTCTTTTCTTGCTATGAACTTCCTATAAGTAGTGAACAGTGTAGGCCAAGATTGCTCCTTTTTTTCTTAATTGGTTTGTTTGATGATTGAGTTATAGGTATTTTGTTTTCGGTTTTTGCTTGATTGATTGATTTTGCAGGTTTTTTTATCTTATGTAGCAAGGTAAAGCTTTTATGATACAATTGCTATCAGTTACCTATTTGTATCCGGCTGCTAAGATGGAGGAAAATGATGTCCCATTATCTCTTCATTTACAGGTTAGGGAAGCGAAATATGTATTCTAGTATCGAACGATTCTGAAAACGGAGCTTCTTGCACATAGCACCTTGAAGTGGAAAATGCAGTCTGTGACACCATTCTCTTTTGTTGATTGAACTTATTCAGTAAATTTTGTTGATTAAGAGCATTGGGTCAGTTTCATCAGTGCCTCATAGTCCAATAGGGGTTCTTGATTCTCCATGTCTAAGCTATAGAAATGATGATAAAATAGTTGGGTCTTGCTCTAGTTCACATACCGGCCCTGCTAGCTAGAGTTGGAATCTAAAGGCATGAAGCGGAAAAGAAAGAGAATTCAGGGGTTGTAGAATTGTATGTCACATATGGTGGGGAATTAATGTGTAAACTAGGAGTTTTTGTGAGATGCATCGTCTAACGCGATCGTAATATTTAACTTATTCATTATCTAATGAGATGCAGTGTTATAGATGTAATGTAATTTGGAAATAACTTATCATGGGTCGTGTGCGTAGAGAGAGAGCGAGAGAGTGAGTGAGAATCATAATTCGACTTGTAAAAATATCAACAAATATGATTGGAACAGTCTATATAATGGTTTTGACTTTAATATATTTTTTTTATTTTTTTTACAGATGAATGGTTTTATGCGAGCTGATGTGTGGTACAGAGGTATAAAGATGAAGGCAAATAGGAGGTCCATTTTAAAACAATTGAAACTAACGATCCAAATGTTTTCTTAATAGAATTATTATTTCTAACTTTCAAATTTTATTTATTTTTTCATATTCATGGTCCCATATTAAAGATTACATGTGCTCTACAACTTCGGATCTAATTCTATTTAAAAATAAATTTATTAAGGCGCCCACATTTCTACATGTGCGGGCTTGACTGCATGCTAACTGCATCTATTTTTATATATTTAAATATTTTTTGTATTTTTATATTTATTTTAATTTTTATCTACCCCGCTTTTCGCTTTATGGCTTGGCTTGGCTTGGCTCGGCTCATGAGCTTGGCTATGAAAGAGGCAATAAACAGTCTATTTGAGGGAGAGAAAATTAGGGGGAAAGAGATGCCTTATAACAGTTCAGATTACGAAGCAAAGAATTGGGATATGGAAGCCCTAAACTTCTAAAAATTTGAAGTTTTAGATTGTTGAGAAAGAAATGGTTTGCAAAATGTGTGGATCTATAGAGGGTGAGAATGAAAGTCAGGATGAGAGATTAGTGTGGATAGTTGGCAAAAGGGGGCGAAGAGTCCAGAACATTGAAAGAGAAGGGAGATGGAGAGATTTCGGGAAATGGGGCAAGAGTCCCAAAAATTGAAAGAGAAGGGAGATGGAGAGATTTGGGGAGTGGGGAAGAAGAGATGAAAGAAAGAGGAGAGCGATAGATGATCAGAAAAGAGAGGGATACTCGGCTCATTCATTCAATTGCTCTCTCTCCCATTGGAGGGAGGCTTGGGGGCGAAGGAAGTTGGAATGGGTACTCTCTCCTCTCTCTATGCAAAAATTTCAATGGGTACTGTAAATGGGACAAGATTTTTTAGTGTTTTCCTCTTTCTAAATTAACATTTCTCTCTATACTAAATTGTGTAGTATTATTTATACTCTCCCTAAAAAAAAAATGATTGATTGGCTACTATATGCTATGAGTCTTTATGTTGTTTCTCAGTTTTCGAATCTGTAATTAGCTATGTTACTTTTGGCTTTAATAAATTTTTTTTTTCAGATGAATTGTTTTGTGCGGGCCAGAGGTATAAAGCATCAATCTATCTTAAAGAGGGAGGCAAATAGGTGGTTCATTTAAAAACAATTGAAACTAACGATCTAAATGTTTTTTTAATAGAATTATTATTTTTTATTTTTAAAATTTATTTATTTTTTCATATTCATGATCCCCAGTTTTCAAAAATAAATTTATTGAAGCGTCCGCATTTCTACATTTGCGGCCTTAACTGCATGCTAACCGCATTTATTTTTATATATTTAAATATTTTTTATATTTATTTTAATTTTTATCTAGTCCTCTATTGCCTTTTTGGCTTATCTTGGTTAACTCCGGCTCGGCTATGGCTATGAAGAAAGAGGTAATACACAGTCTAGTTGAGAGAGAAAATAAAAAAAAAAGAGATGACACATAAGCAAAGAATTGGGATATGGAACCCTAATTAACTTTTAAAAATTTGAAGATTGTCTATTTCTGATCTTTTGACAACAATTTGTTGCCGAAATGGAAAAAAAAGATCGTTTAATTTTGGAATAAAAAATGAACTCCAAAATTTGTCTGATGTTCTAAATTTCATTGAAATTCCACGATATCGCTATTTAAAAATTTCAATGAATTTCGTTAATTTCAAAATTCCACTAATTTTCTTGTGGAAACGTAAATTTATGTTTATGGCTTTGTTTTTTTTCGTAGGTTGACTATTTTATTTTTTCTCACTCAGCTCAGCTTATATAGGCTTGGATCGGCTTGGCTTGGCTTACTTCGGCTCAGCTCGGCTCTGCTCGGCTTGGACAAATATCGGCTCGGCTCAGATAGACTTGCTAGGCTTTTATCGGCTAATTTCGGCTAAAAGCAGTGAAAATTTAATTCAACCAAGCCGACATGAGCCAAGCTAAGCCCATAAAAGTTGAGTCGCGTCGATATAAACTGAGTTAAGCCAACAGAAGCTAAGCCGAGCCGTTTTAAGCCGAGCTGAGCCAAGTGTAGCTGAGCCGAGTCGAGTTGAGTCGCGCCGATATAAACTGAGTTAAGCCGACACAAGCTAAGCCGAGCCGTTTTAAGCCGAGCTGAGCCAAGTGTAGCTGAGCCGAGTCGAGTGTAGCTGAGCCGAGCCGAGTGTAGCTGAGCCGAGCTGTACTGTATGAGCCAAAGGAATAAAAATAGGTAAATTTCACCTGCCCGACCTCTTTTCTGATCATCTACTGCTCTCCTCTTTCTTTAATCTCTTCTTCCCCACTCTCAATCTCTCTCCATCCCCCAAAATCTCTCCATCTTCCTTCTCTTTCAATTTTCTGGACTCTTCCCCCGCTTAGACTATGGCAAAGTCCAACTACCCAGACTAACTGTCATTCTCACCCTTTATAGATCCACACATTTTGCAAACCATCTTTCTCTCTCTTACCACGAACCATTTGTTTCTCAACAATCACCGCTCATGGGGGACTGAAGACCGTTTTTGCTGAAAGGCTGCTATATAGGGCATTAAAACTTACTTAGCAAGCCGCTCTAGTGAGAGAAAAGAGGAGCTCTTATCTGGTTATGGATGTGAAACCTGGCAAGGCCATCCTTGGAAGTCCTCAATGAAGCATACGATAAATGTCGCAAGGTTTGAGCAGAGTATGCCATGACTTTTTTTTTTTTTTGTGAACGATAGAGTATGCCAAGACTTTTCACCTAGGTATTGCTTTCTCTCTCTCGAATTTCTCTCTCTCCTATTGGAGGGAGGCTTGGAGGTGAAGGAAGTTGAAATGGGTACTCTCTCCTCTCTCTATCCAAAAATTTCAATGCGTACTATAAATGGGACAGGCTTTTTTAATGTTTCCCTCTTTCTAAATTAACATTTCTCTCTAAACTAAATTCTGTAGCATTATTTATACTCTCCCTGAAGAAAAAAAGATTGATTGGCTACTTCTCTATTTTCTAACCTGTAATTAGCTACAGTACTCCTCTCTTCCTATCTCTACTTCTCTTTCTCTCTCTTCTCTTTGCAGTAATGTGACAAGTTTAAGATGGAGGTGGACAGTAATGCGACAAAATTTTAAGATAGAGCTGGACAGTCAAACATGCTTAGAAAAATGCATATTTAGAATAATTTATAGTTCATATATATGGAAAACTGGTTAAGGCTATACTCATATTTCTAAAAATATGAATATCCAGATTCTGTTTTGTCAAATAGAGCCTTAAAAGTGTTAAACGAATTTTTTCTGCACCATTTTTATTTAAATGAGAGATAGCAGATAGAGAAGCTCACTGTGATGGAAATGCTATGGGATATGTTACAGGGAGTACGAACTCTATTGAAATGATAAGCCGGTAAGAATGTCGGCCATAACCCTCCAAAATTTTTTTTTGTGGGTAAGTCAGTGGGGGAGACATAACCCTCCAATTCTATTTTCGGACATGCACTTTTTGAGATATTATTACCAGTCGCTTTGCATTTGGTATATATCTGACATCTGCGATTTGGAGGTGTTTGAATTGAGTTGAGGCACGAGGGAGGTTAATGGTAATCATAATCTCGGAGATTCGCATAAATGTAACCGTGATTTTCGATTCTGGTAAAGTACAGAAGAGAGAGAGAGAGGATTTTTGAGGAATATTTTTTCGTTAAAAATGGGAGCAATGTGATGGGTGAGTATTTTGATTGGTTGATTATTTAATTGGTTAAAAATGGATTTCAGGAGGGGTGTAAGAGTGAAGTAGTGGAGGGAGAGAAGCCTTGTCCAATGATGCGTCTGTCAACTGAACATTCCAACTGCTAGTGATGTGGTAATTTCTGATTTATATTTCATTATATTTGTTGTGAGAGAAAATGTTCTTACTTGATTTTTTTTTTCTTTTTTCTTTTATTTATCAGTATTGAGTGTTATGCAGGTATGGAAACAAACGAAACCCTATTCCCAAATTAGGCTGCCTCGTAATTCCCCCAATCACCTCGAGACCATTTGTGTTGTGCAGGAATGGAAACAAACAAAACCCTATTCCCAAATATTCTCAATGACCCCTCGAGTTTTACTATTGCCAGACATATTAGATAGTTTCTCAGATGTTTGGAATTCTATCAAATTTCTGAAGGTTTTCTGTTTCCTCTAACCCTACCTCAGTATCACCAAATCTGGTTAAGCCTACAAGTATCAATTATAAGATAAGATATTCATACCATACTTATAAGAATTAGCCTGACTTACAACTTAGAAAGAAAGAACATGCAATGCACATATGGATTCTCTTATGTACACATAGCAAGGTTAGATGCATCCTAATCTCTCATCACCATCTTTTCTTTCTAGATAAAGCATTAAAGAGAAATTTATGGGATTTTGAGAGTAAGACTGCTCCATACAACTGGGTTTGTTGCATTCCAACTAAACTCAATAAACTTATTCACGAAACACGAGAAGTGAATATATGAAAGTTTTGCACTATAAATGAGGTTTAACAAAGCCTCAACAAGAATGCACACCCTGAAGATATGCCATGCAAAACAAAGGTCAGCTCGTATTGACAACACCTATATGTCATTTCTCTTGTCTCCCCTCTTTTGGACTATCTGGATTTGATGGTTTCATGAATTTTACATCTATTAATTCTTCTTTCTAGTTCATGGCATTCGTTCTATCAGATTTTGGCCTGCCTTAGTTCCAGGGTACAACAAGGGTACCTTAAAGAATGAAAAAAACATAAGAATTATATGAACTTGTGGGATCAATTTATGTATATGTAATTTGGATATGCTTTACAATGGTTTGTGAGTTTTTATAGTCAGATGTCCTATTTTTGCATTTTTTTTGTTTGATTTTTCTGGAATCTCCAACCTTAAACCATATTTTGTAATCCAATTTGTTATATTCTTTTGATCTTATTTGGATTCCTTACATGTTGTTTTTAGTTTTGTTTCGGGTTTAAATATTTTATTTTATTTATTAGCATTTTAAATAAATCTTTTTTTTAAGGGGCTTTTGGGTCATGCACAGACCTAGTCCACTCAACCTCGCACTTGGCTGAGTTACTCGGGCTGCTTCTAAGGCCCAAGCAATGTGGAATAACACTGCTTAGTATTAACCATGAATGTCTGTCATACATACAGACATGGCCATGGTGTAAATGCTCATACATGAACCCATTCATTTCTTTAACATTGGGATATTTTGGTAGTTTGCTCATGAATATTATTTTTAATAGATTATTCACATTACATAGCGTAGAAGCTTGTGAACAAATGAGGCATGTGATGATTTTTTCTTTTTTTTCTTTTCTACGTACTTGCTGAACATCTATGGGGATAAAAATATTTTAAGATCCTTAACTAACTCTTTTTTTTTTTTTGCTATTTTCTTTTTTTTTGATGGTTTGAGTGTTTGAAAAAGGCATAAACCAATTTTGAAGGATATTCCCTTTAATGAAATATTTGTTGGAAAATTCATCAGAGTTTTCCACAGTATTTTCAGCACACATCTAAATGCTTTCATTTTCATAAAAGATTCCGTATTATGGCATCATATTCTATGTACCTATTCCGATAATGGGGACCAAGTTTTACTAACTTCTTTTCTCTTTTTCAAGACTACACATGAAATTGCATTTCCATTAGAAATTTATCAATCGAAAGATGATGCCTTTTTTCATCATACTACCAAGCAAATTTTCAACAAATTGTTGAGTGACCAATCTGACTTGATAATGAGGCAGTGTTGAGCCAAAAAAAAACCATCCAGAAGGTAAACACACAATACCTAAAGCTTTCAATTTCAGTCACAAGGGCCTACTACTCTTTCCTACAATCACTTAGTGCATATCATCCGGATCTTCCGTAACTATCAGAAATCCTTTTCTCGATGGCACTCATGCACAAGTGCCACCGCAACTCAAAACTGTCACTGCATTGTCATTTATGCTGCCATTCCCCATACCCTCACCTCTCACTCACTGGCGTCTAAAACTCTCACCCAAGAGGCTCATAAACATCATCAGTCAACAACAAAATGTGGACCTAGCTTTACAATTCTTTGACCATGCTGTGAAATATCACCCCAATTTCTTTCATAATTATGATACTTATCATATGATCATAGAGAACTAGCCATGGCTAGGGATTTGAATTCCATGGAAATTATACGCAAAGATTTAAAGGATTCCAGAATTTCAGTGAAATAACATTCATAAATGTTATTCCAAACTATGGCTTTGCAAACAAGCCCAAGTTGGCCCTTCAGCCCTTTTTCAGGATAAATGAGTTTGGGATAAACAAGTCAGTTCTTTTAATACTCTTTTGAATGCAATGATTTAGACCAAAAGGCTTGATTTGGTTAATTATATGTATTGTATAGGAATTACAGGAAATTTGGGATATTTCCAATTGTTTTTACGTGCAATATCCTAATTAAGGCCTTATGTTAAATGAACGATTTGAAATCAGCTTTCTAGGTTTTGGAGGAGATGCCAAGCTAGGTTTTTTGTTTTTCAAATACTGTAACTCTGTAAGCTGTGACTTACAGTTATGAGTGGATTTTTTGGAGTAAAAAGTATTTTTGGATGAGATTATAAGCAGAGTTTGGGTCCCTGATAGTTCAACTTACACAGTTTTAATTCATGGTTAATGGGAAATTAATGGAGGCTGTTAAGCTCATAGTGAAATGGAGGACAATTGAGTTCTTCCAAAAGATGTCACGTATGGTGTAGTTATTAAATCTTACCATAAAGAGGGGCGACCAAGCCAGGCTTAAGCCTTTTTAATGAAATGCTTGAGAAGAAGTTTATACCATGCCCAACCCCGTGTTGCAAATTTTTTTATCTTATATGTCAAGATGGCAAGGTTGATGAGGCTCGTATGCTATGGAAGAAGTTCTTAAAGAGGAATTGCACCCCGATAATGCTATATATGGTACACTCATATATTGGCTTTGTAAAGGTGGTAAACTTAAAGCGGCGAGGAAGCTTTTAATGAGTTTGAGAATGGGTTTTATCCAAGTACATTGACATATAATAGAATGGGGAGTTGTGAGAGGCATAGAGATTATGGGATGATATGCTCGGCAAAGCATGTGTTACTAAGGTTTTTCACTTACAATAGGTTGAACAAAGGGTTTCTAGCACTAGAAGGGCAAGTGAAGGTTTTAGCGTATTTGGAGGAAATCCTACACAAAGGGTGCGAAGCCAATAAGTCCACTAATGCCCAACATAGTGTGCTCCCATGATGGGGTTAGATTGTTTAGGACTATAGAGGTTGGTATGTGGTCCGGTATTGTGTTCACAAATGTGTCTTTTACGAGGACATTTTTATTAACATGCTCGGTGACCAAGTCTATTTCTCTCACCCTTCAAGAATTGTACTTTTCTAGTTGGAGTTGAACTTGGGTCTTAGAGTTAATCTCATATTTTTCAGGCAAGGCACCCATCATATTTTCTGCGATGTAGTCCGCTACAACCCTAATCAAATTTCCCTCCATGAAGCTTGACATTATTGTCCTATCTACTTTGTCTTCTTCTAGCCATTTGTCTAATATTCTTCTAGCATGGCCTTTGGCATTAGGTTTTATAATTGGAGGATCAGATTCAAGTACATCACCACCCTATCTTGGAAGCATACTTATCTTTTTTTTTATTTCTTTTTTATCTTTTTAAAGCACAAAATTTTTTTTTATTAATTTTTCCTAGCAATGGTACCAGATCGTCAACTAAAAGTTCCTTGACCACCCTATGACCAAACTTTGGACTTCAAGCCAACCCAACAAATCCATGATCCACATGTCTCCCATGCAATGGGCTTGTGGTTAGCCTATCAAAGATAACCAAGGCCTAGAGGGAGCATGGATAGCCATAGATCCCACGTGACCACTTCAAGGACAAGTTTGTGCTCACAAAGATCAAGAACTGCATAGGAGTGTTTTGATCTTTTTCTTTAGTGCAAGGGGAGTCCAACTACATGCAAATGAAGAACCAAGTACGCCTCTCATACCCATTTTTGTCCAATGTCATTATGCTTGCGTGCTGCGTAGGATGCCATGCAGAGGCTTTTAGGCACTCGCCTTGACAAAACACCATCTCATTGCACAATAGGGTCTTGGTTTCCTCTTGTCCCGCTTTTCTCAATAGAGTCTTGGTTTCCTTCGGGCTCAGCATCCACCACCCTGGATCCTCTTTGGCTGTGCATATTACAAAGACTATACACATCCACGACCTTGGATCCTCCAAGTCAATGCCTTTTCACATGCCAAGGCGAGATTGATGGAGCCCGCTATGTCCTAGAAAGAATCAGCTCCAACCAACTCTAGTAGCTTATTCATCCAAGTAAAGCCCTACTCTAATGGCCTTTTCATCCAATTAGAGTACACCTTCCGTGATGATCTTTCTCTTCGAAGTAGCGCATATCACATGGCCTGTTTTATCCATAGATCCTTCCTCACACAACATCTTTCACCCATGGATGTGGCACCCATTACTCTAATGGTTACTTTCACTCAATTAGAGCCACACTCCCAGGAGTGCAAAAATATGAGTACCTAAACACATATGAATATATGAGGGTGAAAATAAAAAAACCAAGCGGCAAGGCTCTTAAAGGCGATTTATTCGGCTTCCGATGCACTCATGCCATACGAATTACACTGTTCTTCATATTACATGTTCATGTTTGACCTTTGCTCTGATAGAGCTTTTGTAATACTTTATATTTTGTATCTCGTTTCTTTTGTGCTTCTTATACTTGGAATATTGGATTTCTATTCGTTTCCTATATTTTAATGGAAAATGCTAAATGCCTTCTTTCTGTT